AACCACATCGAAATGTAACGCAGAGGGTATCAGATGCATATGTTATGTATTTTTATATTTTGATACAAACAAAGCGTAAACAAAACATTTTGATCAAATGCCGGTCATCGAATTAAAAGATCAGAATACACGAATTGTACTGAAAAATAGATTGATAGAAATAAACAATTAATAAAACTTGCTAAGACATAAAATGTTGGTCGCATGAAAAGGAGGTCGGATTATTGGTTGGTATCTATACCGTCTTCACAAAGCCTCTATAATTAAATTTGTAAATATCATTTATAATTTACATTACACACAATTGCAAAATGGCTTATTTCCTGCTACATTTCTACTGCCACTGCATTCCACTTCTCTGATCTGTTATTTTATGATGAATGGAAATTTAGGACAATAATTAAAAAATATCCCATAATCTCTTTATAAATATTTTATATTATATAAAACCAATTTCTCATTTCAAAACTGTTGCACATTTCGATATTATATTTCTGCATATCAAGCTTAGCTAAACCTGTCGCAACGTAGCAATAAAGTAGTACTCAGTTAAGACTGAAATAATCGCACTAGTAATGTTTCGTCCGACCAGAGTACATACTATCGATGTATGACAGGTGTCCTTGTGTTTCCCATTCAAAATAAATTTTTGTAAAACTTTACTAAAAATTTTTGTCATTCAGTTTAAATACTTGAAACTTTTAAGTTCGATAAATGGAGTTTAGGAAATGTTTGTGTTGTCTTCAATTTGTCAGAGGTAAAGTTCAATAAAAAAAAAACCCTTTATGATGCCCTTGCCATGTTTCATTGGACCAGCAAAAGCAAACCCTGTGGGTCATTCATTATCGTGGAGTTAAGTCGATTCTATGTGGCTTTGTGCCAAGTTATTCTTCATTAATACATATTTAACTCAATGCCATAAACACGGAGTGTTTTCTTTTTAAATTCTTTAAAATTTCATCTTTCTTTTCTATACGAGTGAATGAAGGTCCCGTGTCAATGTATATCAAAATATCAAAAAATTTCGACGTGTGATTTTGGCTATTCATTTAGCCATTATCAAGATTGAAAAAATTAATGCGTGAGGAAATAAAATGTCATTATAAATGCTGTGTTTTAAAAATTTTAGCATTATAACCTTTGAAGTTACATAAGCGGCAACAAAAACGTGAGATTCAGAATGTATTTTAGCATCTTGATTGAAGATTTTATTCAGCGTTGGGTTCTTTTTTTAATAATAAGGTCTTAAAGAATGTGTAACTTTTCTCTAGTTACTGTGGTATATGCATATCATCTATAAGTATTGGTTAGTACATTATGGCTTGATCGTGTTTTGCAATTAAAAACATATCAATGTTTTAGCAAATTACACGCTAATTGCTATAGCATAACCAAACGCCTAAGAATATATATATATATATATATATATATATATATATATATATATATATATATATATATTATTCCAGGATCATTTTCCAACTTATTCAAGATGATCTTCGCCCTCTCTAACCTTCTAATTTTCTGTCCTGGAGTAACAAGGTGCCTCAAAGTTTTCACGTACGATTTCATTTTCAAGTTTTTACTACTCTATCACGGGCCAAACGTCTTATGGATTGAGTTGAATCTTTTGTAACTGATCTCTTTAGCTCTAAGTTGAAATGATGATTCCTCTTCCTGTTGTTACATTCTTATCCAGTTTTCCTTTCTACTGTTCCCTCTTTTTAAAAATCATCCATCGTTCTCTTGATGGTTCTTGAATGGACGAATACGGAAGCCAGGGTATGAATGTTGGCACCATTATTGAAGGCCTGAATGATCTTTTTTCTCTCACCATTGTTCATCTGGGAAGACAGTTGGATTGACAAAAAACGGTTTTAATCTGTTTTCTTTCTAGCTGAATAACTCAAAGGTTTGTTCAGGGATTCTTACGATAAATGGTGTCGAGATGGCTAAACGTCTTGTCAGAAAAATTGGAAAAAACCTCAATTAGTTTAGTGTTTCTTTGGATATTAAACATTATGTTGGATGGTCAATTATACTGTCACACAATTTAGAAAATTTTGCTGGTACACCCGATTTTGTTTGATGATAGCAAAAGCATGAAACCCAGGGTTACAAACCATACAACTGAATATGTTAGCTCTATCACAGATATTGATCACTTTCCACAAAATACCGCATATATATATATATATAGTTAGTTAGTTAGTTGCATTAATTTTTCTTTACTGCGTTAAAAGTTCATTTGATCAATTTCAATTCACTTGTACAAGATTAACTTTTAGTGATGATACCAAAATTCAGTCTTCTTTGATTGATCACTGAAGAAATATTCTCATGATAAAGATTTGAAAATGACTCATTCGTTTTAAACACAATTGGTCTTGGCTACAAATATTACTTTAGCATTTACAGAAAACTTTTCTACTACTTAGTACGTCTTGACATTCACAGGAATGAGAGAATGTTCATGTCCACAAAAGAGACGAAGCTAAGCAGGTTTCGTTTGTTATAATGCAAAACACACAAAAGGTTTGTTGTAACCTAGAAAGCGTTACTAAATGAGGATTAACCAAAACGGAGGTTGGAAATGAAATGGTAATCTTTATAACATCAACAAAATACAATACTCGCCAGCGGCGTGAAGTAGGTAAACCATGGTTCGTGTTAGACTACTTAGATAGCATATTACCCCCACTTACAATAGTGTCCAACGTATTTATGAGGATTGGGAAATACCCATTAGTGTTCATTGGGTAAGTTAAATCCCAAACTAGGATTGACTTCATATTTGGAAACAAGTGACATTAAATTTATTGAATGTTTCTTTTGTTTTTATCAGGTGCTCGACTTCATGATGTTAAGTATGATCCGTTAGCATTTATCCAGCAAGCTGAAAAAGAAATCGCCAAAAGTGCTAAAATAAACATCCTTCGAATTCAGGAAGCTGTTCTTGAATATGACTCTCAGTACACTTACCTGACTGCAAAGTTACTTACATACCCACCGGCAAAAGGTAACTTACATTGCAACCAATTCAGATTGCATTTTTCTTTCTTTTTTTCCTGATCGGATGTGTGGGTATCAAAACGGTTATTAGCGCGGAAATTGGAATCAGCAGTACGAGTTCAAACGTTGATTACGTGTGTTACGTTCATTTCTCACTAATGCTTTATATTAACTTGGCCAAAGTTAAGATGTAATACACTACAAATGATGACTGGAGGATGAGGACCAAATGCAGCGTCGGCTGTTTGTTCCTCGTGGCTGATAACAACCACTGGAAGCCGAAAGAATAATGTGCCTATATATTTTGCAATCAGGTGAGCAAGAAACGATATATACATTGGTATATCGAGAGAAATTTTTGCAGCCCTTCATTGTGGAAAAATTAAGAAAACAGCAAAGTGTAACACTGAGGCAGCGAGGCTGTTAAAAATTAATTCTAAGCAGAAAAGAAAAGGGTTAACCAAAATGAAATGAAAGAGAGAGAGAGAGAGAGAGAGAGAGAGAGAGAGTTTATTTTTCTTATCTGTCGAGAGTCTGGCATGCGGATGAAAACAGATTCGGGGAAATGGCTTTATCTCTTTCTTGATAAATTAGGGAAACGCATATATTTTACGCAGAAGAAAACGAAAGCAGAGAACGAACCCTTTTTCTTTGGGTTGAAGTTATGAAGATCAGTTATGTCGTGCCAAGAAGATGATCTGGTTTGAATTTTTGCTGAGACGGCGACCGTCCCAGGGATGAAAAACAGTGTGTTTCTTTGAGAATTTAGTTTAACAAATTTATTTTCATTGACGAAAGCAGATTAGGAAATAATTTTTATCTATCGCTTGGAAGGTTAAAATAAGAACGAATTTCTCTTAACGGGTCGGTTGTACTGTACGATTGAGGCTGGAGTTATTAAAACAAATTCTGTTATCGGTATTCTGGTCTGTATTTTCGCTGGGCTGAGATAGTTCCAGGAAAATAGAAAAGATTTGGAGAATTAAAATTAATAGATGAAATGGAACTCTGCCCTTCAGTTATGCATGCCCTGGGAAGTGAGCTGAGGTTAAATGCTAGGAAGGAAAGAGGAAGGAGTAGAATTTTGCCCCGCTTCTGTGAAGTAGTGGTGTGAGATGGGAAGTGAAGCAGGCTGGAGTTAAAGGAGAAACAGTCCCTGTGACTCATCCTTAGGAAGGTGGATAATTCTCCAAATTTGGAAATTTGATTAAGAAAGCAGAAATAGAGAACAAGGAAAATATTTATTTGAATTAATGAAAATTGAGGAATCACCTAATTCCCAGATCCCTTCGGCCCCACGACAATGTTAGACCAAAGTGCATATAAACAGATCACTTTGGGGAGATCATTGACTTTGGGCTGAGAAGGCGTATCGAGTGCTTCTGGAATCCACGACAGCTGCCACCAGAATTCCTAATTCCAAGATTTTGAACCCAGCCTTCCTGAAGATTAGACAAGGCCTAGTGTTACTAAAGAGATTGGTGTAAGAAGGGTTAATTTTTGTTGGACCAAGAACTATATAAACCAATTGAAGATTAACGCGAATTTTGTTTTATTTTTTCGTCGTGAAGATATTTTCCCTTAATGTAGCACCCGCCACGGCTTGACCAGCGTTGCGAGACTACGACGATATTCGATCTTCCACTGCTCTGAGAGCAAGAACACAACGTAGACAGAGATGGTGTGGATCGAAGCGGCCAGCGACGAACAACTAGGTTGGACCGGCGTCAGCATTGACCAGTGCAGATTCTGAGGCCGGACCTCTAAACGTTGTTCCATCACCGGGTGTAGGCGGCGGCGAAAGGTGTTACAAAAGTACATATCATTTTTATATTTATGCGGTGAAATCAATGTATATAAGAAGATTTTAAATAACTAGTTATTTATTTTCAGCACATTTTCGAAAATTTCCCAGCAAAGTTATCAATAGAAAGGAAGACAAAAGTTTTTCGAAAGTAAAGAGCGCCGACGAATGTGCCAATAAATGCATGATGGAAAAAGGCTTTACTTGTAACAGTTTCGACTTTTGTCAAGATGACACCGTTTCATGTAAGCTCAGCAAACTCTATTCACAAGATGGAAAGAAATTAAACAGTGGCAAGTCCTGTGACCATTATTCACGTAAGTTGAACTAAAGATTTTTTTTCAGTTGAAGTTTTTATCTGGTTATGTTCAAATTTATAATCAAATTAATGCAAATGTATTACTTTTCAGATACCACAGAGAATTATTGATCAACGTAAATGGTCCTCAGATTATTCGTTATTTGAGATCAACGTTGAAATTAAGAATGTTTATGTCTGTCATTCAGCGAATCAATCTAATATATAAAGGTTTCGTAGGATGTTTTAGTACCTTGTTCGGCGTTACCATAGTTTTGGAAAATTTGTTTCTATTCGAACGATAGTTAGAAGCTTGACCCGCAGATTGTTGCAATTGTCACTAAAAATGTTACCATCGTGTTTTGATACTTGACTAGGAAAAAATTAGTTAAAAGCAACCATATTTTGAAATTCTGTCGTCATTGCAGATATTTTTAAAGTTTTTAGAGCAAAAGCACTTCTAGGGGCTTTTGTAAGATTCAAAATAGTTTGTGCGTACAGGAATGCGCTCAAAAGATCCTATCGATACGCACTATAAATAACAGTATACGGCACGGTGTGTGTGTGTATTTGTGTGTGTATGAGAGAGAGAGAGAGAGAGAGAGAGAGAGAGAGAGAGAGAGAGAGAGAATGACAGACAGACAAAGAGAGAGAGAGATAGATTAATATACTATTTATGCTGATAAAAGTTGAACATATTTAAACTCTGCACTTAATGCACCACTTAAGCAGAAACACAACAGACAGTTATTTCGCATTTCTTGTAATAATTTAATAGAAATTAAATTTAGGAAAATTATTAAAAAAACAACGTTATTTAATTCAGAAAAATTGAAGTTTAAAAATGTTTCTACTGTCTTTGAGTAATTTTCCTTTTCTGTTTTGTGTTTATTGGAATTTTCAATGCGTCTTCACCTCGAATTTGTAATCAACTGCAATCATGTGTCTGCTTGGCGATTTCTGTTCGAGCTGTAAAATTCAGATTTTGACTGCTTCTTTGCAAGGAAACTGATCCATATTTGAAATAATAATAAAATAATCTTTAGTCATTCTCTATTTGACTATATGGCAAGGTTTAGTAAATTTTCTAAACAGAAAAGGAAGCTTGCATTTTATTGTAGATGGCTCTTTTGATGCGCTACCCGTCATTTTGGTGGTCATTATCCATTTCTTATCTTGTTTTCTATTTAATTTCTATAAACAGAAGTATCTCATGCTTAAGCTTTTGAAAATATTCAAATCGGAAGTGAAATTGATTCTTTACTTCAGAATAAAAACAAATAATTATCAAGCGATTCTGTCTCATTTTTGTTTGAAAAATTAAAAATTCTACAGTTTGATCATTTGTCGTTGGGACTTCATATTATTAAACTTCGCCAAATTTGACTGAAGGACATGAAGAGTGAACTGATATGTAATGACTTTCGAGATAATAAAGCTAATTATGGGTTTCTAGCAAGTGATCGAATAGGGTTTTGGTTAAAAAAAATCCTTATCTCTGAACACACACGGAGATCGAAGTAACTTTCATGATTTTCGAATTCATCTCGCTAACTCTCTAATTAGATGACATATCATTTCGAATATTCAATATTGTTCGAATACTCGATTATTTTTGTATAAATGTTGCTAACATTGTATACATTCTTCAACCTTTAACAGTTGTAATCCGTGAGAACAAAGAAAACATTCAAGAATTTTTTTTTTCTGAACGTTTCCTCTGTTCTCATGATTGATGGTGACTGAATCAGCACAAACGTTGTGTTAACAATTATCGATATGTTGATGAATCTTAAAGTTATAAATAAAATGGAAATAATGAAAAAAATTCAGTTAAATTATATGGTGAAAGTTGTCAAAGATTTCTGGATTTATTTTAAGCTGAGAAACGTTTGAGAATTAAATTTTGATAAGGAATAACAAATGTTTTGGGGATAATCTTTTCCATTCAGGAGTTGTTGCCGGCGGAAAGCGTCCATTGGAACCTCTTATTGCAATTGGACTTTTGAAAGATGCTGTTGCCAGTGGAACCTTCAAGGTCACTTTGAATACAGTAAGAATTCGTTTTTGTTTTATAGACATTCCTTTCTAAAATATAGGCGGTTGGACCCCAAATCAAGAGAGTGTTGGTGTATAAGCTTGAACAATCTATTGATAACATGTCTACTGCAAATGGAGTTAATAATCTCTGCATTCAAATATTGAAACATCTCGAATTGGGTTATATGGAATGAATGCAAGATCTGACTGCACTCTTCTTCACAAACTTTCATGGCATATTAACACCAAGGCTTTGTCGATCCATATGTCCCTAGTATAGAAATAAAAGAAATGTGGATTTCGGCTTTTTCCCACAGGCAAGTCCGACGTGAATGCACACAGTTTCAGCTTGAATTTGAATGTGTTCCGCTGATTTTTCTTCTCTTTTACTCCCCTCTTTATCCGAGTAATACACAATGGAACATGATTAAGTTACCTATAATCTGATTGATCACCTCTTCTTAAATCATTCGGATAAATTGCCCCCCTCCGCCCGTAAAAGTTATATTGCGTGATTTCCTTTCAAAGCATGGGATAATATCAAGTTGTAATAAAGAAAAGCCTTATTATTTTGTTGAAGTCCTGAGGCTTCATAAATTATGTTATATTAATTTCTATGTGGCATCTTCTAGAGCAACGCACTCTTTCGGTGAAACACAAAACACACACAATGAAGGTTGCTATTTATTCGCTATTTGGAAAATGCTTCTAGGAGTTACATTTTATAAATAGGATTTCTTCTTCATACAAATATCTTTGTTCAGACTTAAAGTGTTCACATTGTATTTTTCAGGTTCAAACGTACACAGCAATTAAACTTAGAGATGACGTCACAACCACTGATTCAATTCAACTCACTATGGGTAATCCTACTTTTCCCCTAATTTACAAGAAAATTGAACAGAAATCTATGTTTTTGACTAATACGAGAAATCATTTTTCCATCTGTAAGAATTTGCATGCATTTGAGAAAAATATGAAAATTTAAATTCATTGACTAGAAGAAGGTATTTATCTGCAAAAGCAAAGTTTCTGTTCAATAAAAGATTCGTTTGACATGGGAAAAGTTTTCATATGGGAATACTGAAAATATATCAAACACCGTAGGTATGATACAAACCATTAATGGATCTGCAGATAGAACTCTTAGTGTGAAGGAAGCATTATAGACTCTACACATGAACATATTAATACAGAAATTATTATTTAGCTTTCTGTTAGACTCAGTTAAACAACAGACGTTTGCATTCTCTCAAATATAAATCTTTGAAATTTGCGTGTCAAGTGCGTTTGTGTTGCTATTGTGTTTTCCTTTTAAAAAAAACATGAATTCCTCTACCGTAAAACTGACAAAAAACAAGATATGGCTTCCGATAAATAAACCTGCTGGCACCTATATTCATTGGTTTGAGATTAAAGAAATCAATCTCCATTCGAGAGACGGTGTTTAAAATTAGCCTTTATTTGGGGTAAGTCAAAAATGTTCTATCGTTCTTTCCCAACCTCTTATATATAAACGCGTCTGTCTGTATGAAATTATTGGTCAGCTATCAACTCGAGAAGATCGTTTGTTCTCGGAAAATGCTTCAATCAACCACAGAGATAAACAATTATCAGACTATTAACATCAGGTGGAAAAACGACTGTGATTATTAGCAAGTACGAGTCAGAAGCCGCTCAATTCGTCAATATGTAAAACGAGATATACAGCTTTCACTCCTTTTGTCGACATGACTCTATAAACACCAAGCAATTAAAAAAGGGAAATACTGATGTAGAACGATATAATTATTCCATTTTGATAGTGTTAATAAACCTGTAGGTATTATACTACTCGAGATATTAGTCATTGTAGTTTTTTTGGAAAGTGTAAGAAATATTATGCATATCGTAGGTAGGTAAGAAAGAAAGATATATGATGTGATAAAATATTTTTTGCAATAACATGTTTAAAGCTTTTCTTTTTATTTTATTTCTAGAAAATAATATCAAGAAATTCGACCGTTTTAAAAATGACACAACAATCGTCAGTTCGAAAAGAATGCGTACTTATCCTCAAATGTCAGTCGATGATTGCGCCAATCTCTGCTTGGCTGAGCCGACATATAAATGTGAATCTTTCGCTTTTTGCTTCTCACAAGGGGACTGTTATTTAGCCAGTTCGCATCCTGATCAAAATCCGCAGATGCTTGAAATCCACAAAGGATGTAGTGTATACAATCGTTAGTATCCGATTTCATTCTTTTTCGTATCGCCGTATATAGTTGATTAAGAGTATTGAACTGTTGGTTAGGATAGAAACAGGTAATTTCCGAATTCCAGAATCTGATTCCTTTACAACTTGAGATAAAAATGGAATGACAGATCTTAACAAAAAAAATATTGACTATAGCTGTCGCGGCAAATGAAATGATTATTTGTATACTCCAGCGAGCGACTACTTGTGGCCGATAAATGCATAAAAACATTTACTGTAAGAAAGGAAACACGTACAATGTTTATGTTAGTAGACATTATGGAAAAAGAAGGAGAATAGTCCAAAGTTATATCAAACATTATATATTGAGAAACAATACACAACATATAAAGCTTTTGTATTTTGTGAATCTTCTCTTAAGTATAAATCATTGAATAATCTGCTTTCAAAAGTGCGGCATGTAGCATCAGAAGGGAGGAAGAGAAGGGCGCGTGTTTTCTGTTCATTTCTTGAAGCCAAGAACTCTACATCTCCCACGGAGACAGCAAGGAGACGGGCCGCGATTGGACGGTCTAGCGACCAATTATATGTGTATGCGTATGCGTGTGTGTTAACTTACTGTACACATTTTCAATCTAGTTTATATTTTATATCTAGTTTCGTTATTTCACTTTGTTAGCTATCTTTTTTCACCTTTATCGCTCTTCTTCTCATGACTGTAACATATTAAATAACATTTCTGACGATTTGGAAATGCCCCTCTCTCTGCGGACATTTGTGTTTGGTGATTTTAATGCTCATCACGTCAAGTGACTAAATCATTCTAATATTACTGATGTATTCAGTATTCGGTATTCAGACTATCAATTTTATATATTCGTTTCCTTAATAAATCTGATCAACTTTCTTATTTACATGATTTGTTCCTGACCTCCACTCCTAGCTCTTGTAGAACATCACAACTCTGTTATCTTGGCAATTCTCTGTAGTATCTGTTGATATTTCTTGAGTTGTCTATTAGACAGGAACCTTCTATTCACAAGACTTCTTTCTGTTACACGTGTACTGATTGGGATTCATTTCATGACTTTCTTCGAGATGCCCCTGGAAATAATATTTTACACCTTCCAATTGAGAATTATTCCATAGGGATTTCTTTTTGGGCTAAAGTGTTATCGATGTTTTTATATCTTCTTGGAAATACCTAGTGAAACCACAATCTTCTCATGGGTCCACACCGGTTTCTTCAGTAGCTATAGTCCGCAGGAAGCACTTTTCTGGCTATACCAGTGTGATAGTTTCGAACACAACAGACACCTCTTTGTTTCTGTTCGTAATAATTGTAACCGTGTCCTCAGAGAGGCTAAGTCTTTGTGTGCTGATAGAATGAGATACCGTATGACCTCTCACAAGTTTGGTTCCCGTGACTACTGTGCAATAGTGTGTTAAATAAGAGTACTCTTTTATATCTCCTATCTTCACTCAATTTCAGGTGTTAACATCTTCTGCTGATAAAGTAGAATATTTTGCTCGTAATTTTTTTTCAAAGTCTACTATTAATTCATCTGGAATATCTTTGCATGAATTTCCACTTAAAACTGAGTCTCTATTGATTGATATGCATATAACTCCATCCATGTTTTCTGCTATCATCTCTAAACTGGATCCCCACAAAGTATGTGAACTTGATGGTATCCCTACAACAGTCCTTTAGAAATGTGCCCAAACAAAGTCGCCTCATTTTGGAGTTGAAATGGCTAGGTGTAACCGTAAGTTCTATGCTATCAGTTTCTTCTACTGCACTTCACATTTGTGGAACTTTCTTCCGACTTCTTGCTTTTCAGTCAACTTTGATGCTCAAACCTTTAAATGCAATGTCAATCGTTATCTCCTGTGTTCTTAATTCCTGTTCTTTTATTGTTCTCTCCCCTTAATAATTTTTTATTTCTTATATTCTCACATTCAGTAACCCTTGCGTCTTTAGTGGCTTTATTGCCTTGCTTGAGTAGAAATGATAAAAAAATAAAAATAAATAAAAAATAAACGTTATTGTTCTGGAAAAGTATAAAAATATTATAAATTAATTTACAAAAACAACTGACCCCAAATTTCAGCTTCTGTTTTGTTGAAGAATTCAGACTAACTGATAATAGGATTTTTCACCCTTTCCAAGATTGAAATGGAATGAGCGCTATATGAAATAGACAGTTCTTAGGAAGGTCAGTGCCATATATTTTGATATGGTCTTAAAATCTTAAAAGAAATGATAAGTAGTAGTTGTAGGCTTTGAATATGTTTTTAAGAATGTAAGACAAACCGCAAATTTAAAAAAATGAAATTTGAAAACAAAATGGAGATTAGCAAAAAAATAAAAAAAATGTTAAGAGCTCCATTTAATTGAATTTTAGAAAAAATTTAATAAAATAGTAAATGCATTTTTAATATATTACTCATTCCATAATGAAATATCAGAATACAGTTAAATTATATTAAGTTTAAAAATTAATCAGAATTTGTAAAAAAACTGCTATAAAAGTATTTCTATCAATCTAAGATAATTACAATAAGTTACAAATCATATATAATACAAAAATTATAAAAGTTGTTACATAAGATAAAAGTTAAGTGTGCCAACCTTTGACGAGAATTAGTACTGATGACTATAGCAGTTTTAGAAATTTAAAATGGAACTGTCTTTTCTTTTCCTGCATTTTGCAGAAAAACGTGAAATTATACATCAAATCTGAAAAAAGTTTGTTAAATGGAGTGTATTATTTTGGTAACTATAATTAACAGATAAGTAGAATTAACTACTTTTATAAGGAATTAGTTCTCTATCTTAGATTGTGCTTGTGCACTAATATTACTAATTTTGTGGAAATTCTTTTGCAAAATTATTACTGGAAGAGCTATTTAAACGATATAAAAAGAATTAAAATTTAGTTACCGTTTGGACGTTTAACGTAAATCACGTTTCGTCTCACTAATGTAGATTTTTATCTTTTGAAATAAAATTATTTTTCTGAAGACACCAGATCATCGGCGAAAAGTGACAAGATAAACATTTTTTTCAAAGTGTCCTATTCATTCCTTTGAAATTATCGGCCAGCTTTGCTCTCTCTCCCTCTCAAAAACACACACGCACGCATATATATGGATGCACATTGCTTCTATGTGAATAATTTTTTTTTCGTTTTAAGGCAATTATTTATACAGATACAACAAAGAACCAGGTGTATCGACAGTGACAACGGGTACCAAAGATGTTGATGTGACTTCAGCATCCGACTGTGCCAAGCAATGTACAATCAACGATGACTTTTTGTGTCAATCTTTCCAGTATTGTCCACAAATTAACGAATGTTCTTTAAGTAAAGTTCATAAGATGGACATACCCGATAGAGAGATCCAAGGCAACATAATGTGTGATATTTATTTCCGTAAGTTGAATTATTTTGAAATAAATTTACAAAAAAAGAAAACACACTCAAAATACTAGTTTTGTGAAATTATTTATTTGTTTATTTGCTTAATTATTTATTTGTTTATTTGCAAATATATAAATTATCGATGAAAAAGACAATATTTAATTTGTAAGACGACAATATTCTAAGTGTAAAATAATTCACATGATGTTTATTCTTTTTTGTTGGAATCTTGTATTGTACAGTACTTTAATTCTGTGTGTGTGTGGCTAAATATAGGTTATATAAAATGTATTCGAAATATTCACCCAGCAAAATTGTCAGTGGATTGATGAAGAAGAGGGGAATAGATAACAGTGAGAATTAAATTTACCTTTTTTAGTTTTCAATTTCATTTTTCACTTTATATTATTTCTTGATCTAAAGAATAATTTTGTACTTTACTTTATTAAAAAAGAGAGTGATCTTCGTTTCAGAAAGCTTAGCATTTGAATGATTCTCTGTTTTGAAGGTAAATACATTGACGACTTCACAGCATCGAAAGGTAAACGTATCGCCCTTGTCAACGATCAGATTTTGACAGATATTTCTGAGGAACAATGTGCCAAAGCTTGCATGGAAGAAGAAAAATTTAACTGTGCCAGTTTCGATTACTGCACCAACAAAACTGAATGTCGCTTAACCAACCACGACACACTACACAGCGGCCATGTGACAATGGAATTGAATGCTTTTTGTACTCATTTTAGACGTAAGTTTCTTTACATCGTATTAATAAGATGGAATGGAAAATAGTGTATGATTTTGTTTTTTATTCTAAGTAAAAATCATAAACTCATAAAAGCTGCATGAAACACTTGCACTCCAATATAATCTGCTTCAATGAATACTTGTTTACAAAATCTGATCCCTTTTGGAAGCAGCTTTGGAATTTATATGAAGAAGCTGTTTTGTCAGATTTCATAAATTGTTGGAATGGCGTCAGCTGAATTTGATTTTTGGGAAAGAAGCAATCACAGGAAAAATATTGCGAGAATTCAGGAATGTTCTGTTAAATTAAGGTTTTATTTTGTTTGACGTATTAACATATATACAACAATCTTATATTCTGGGCTTCTATTCTTAAGCATTGCTTTCAAAAAAGGTTTTACAAGCCATCACAAGTGAATTCAACACGCTACAAATCCGAACTTGTGTTTAAGGAGGCGCCGTTCAAAGATATCTTAAACATATATACGTGGTTTGGTCAAAAGTATTGGGACTGGTGCTATAAAAAGAAAACTACAAAAAATATCAATTCAGCATTTAATCTCCTTCGAAGCAGTCCAATTCTGAAGACACACACTTTATTCAACTTCGTATCCATTGATGGAAGCATTCCCAGAACTCCTTTTTTTCGGATAGCAAGCAGCTGCCTTGTTGCATTCTGTTGGATTTCCTCGATGTTATGTACTCTTTTTCAATTCAAGTGGGAATTTATTTTTGGAAAGAGAAAAAAGTAGCAAAGATCGAGGTCTGTGGAATGTGCATGGTCACCGGTGGTGTGGTGAGACAACCACACTCCACACACTTTTCATCCAAGCACTACTATAAACAACGGAAGTGAACGAGAACGTTATAACTTAGTGTGCATGCGGGACAGCGTTCAGAGTCAATATGTGCCAAGCGGTTTCACTTTGCATACTTTAGCCCCATTACCATAGTATCAGTCCCGATACTTTTTGATTAGTATATGTGTATTAGTAGAATGTAGAATAGTATCCGAAACAAAAGTGGTGATAATTAAAGGGGAAAATCTATTTTAGAAACGCGTTTCGCCAAATTTTGTTAGGATTTGTTTCTTCAGATTAAAATGAAAAACAAAACTGTGTATAAGGAAATTATGTTGAGATTTCTGAGGTTAAGAGGAGCAATAAATTAAATTACCTTATCAGATCCGACTACCAGAGAGTGTTTTTTTTATTTTCATATATTTATTTTATTAGAGCCGCGAGTCTGTTGAATATGAATTTAGCCGATTTCGAATATATTTTTGTTTATTTTCTATTACATCCTATACAGTATTGTGCTACTATTGCTTTTGCGATGATTATTTGCGTACGCAATATTATTTTAAAAAATATCGGCAACACTAGAATACAATTAATGAAGATAAATGTTTTTTTTATAGGTAAAGCTACTGCTTATTCTACACACAAGACAGTTAAGAAAGGAGTCGTTTATTCCAGTTGTGAGTAATCTTTTTAATCTATATTTAATTCATGAAATATTGCTTTCAGATGGAATATCTCTAATATTTCGAAGGATTAGATGAAAAATTTTTTACCGTCAAATTCCTTTCAAAAAGAAAAGATTAGTTTTATTTGTAAGCAACAGATTTGACTTCAAAGCTTCTGACGAAATACACGTATCTTAACAATAAGAAATCATAGAAATTACATTTTGCTGTACTTACTGACTTTATTAATGCATTTTTCTAGAATATATTTTAAGATTGTTATCTGCAAGGAATTTATATTATTTTATGGCAGTAACGAAGGTTTTAGGTAAAAATTTTTATTTTGAAAAACGTACAATCAATGACAGTTGCTACACATCGTAAAAAATCTTTCTTTCCATAAAAATATGAATGAAATTTAATCTCTACTTAATTTTCTCTAAATAAAACGAATTTGATTTTTTTCTCTTTGAATCAGTTAAGCCTAGATATAATTGGGAAAGGTATCAATATAATTCTTTCTCTCGTCTCATTGCCAGTCATCTCGATTATGGTGTTGACAGTAAATTGGTAATCTATTCTCACTAATATTACCTAAACACTAACAGTAGATGACTGCTATGTTCAATGTCAGTAATGAAAGATGATGACATGTAATTTTTAAAAAAATATATTATAGTAAATCAATTTTGGTGCAAATAAGAATGAAAATAATGATGAAGATCATCTATGTAATCAATGAATAATTAATGAAATTACATTGATTTTTCATATATATATATATATATATATATATATATATATATGTGTATATATATATGTTTCATTAAATAATATAGACAAGTTTTATCTATTTATTTTAAGTAAGTTCCTTTCATATTGTTTGATAAGCTTAATTACATTATCGTTGAAAGACGGAAGGAAACACCATATTGATACATCTTTAAATCCAATCTAAGCTTTCGGCTTACACAAGCCATTATCAAAGATGACAATTTCAATAAATCAAACAACAACGGACGAAAGAACAATAATAGTTCGCCCTTGCTGCATGAAAATTTCAAGTAACGACAAACTCGTATATACGAGACGCGGAAGCGAAAATCGCGTCGCAGCTCGTGACGTCACTCATGACCACGCGAGAGTGAAAAAACGAGAAGTATTAAGTATGGGAAACCGTCTCGTATATACGAGTTTGTCGTTACTTATCAGACAATATGAAAGGAATTTACTTAAAATAAATAGACAAAACTTGTCTATATTATTTAATGAAACATGCATTAACGAAACATTGCTGCCTAAATATACACAATATATATATATATATATATATATATATATATATATATATATATATATATGATACGGTAGGTATTTGTGAAACAAAGCTTTAGTAATGTATAAATGAAAGACGAGCTAGCATAATGAAACTTTAAGTGGTCAGACATTTCAAGGACAGCGGGTTTGGACATCATCATTCACGACCTTAGCAATTCTATGAGGACAATTCCCGAGCAGCCCAATGTGGGAAGGTGCATTTTCAGCCATTTGAGGCACAAGGACATCAAGTACAAATCGTACGTGATGAAGACAGAGAGGTTCATGTCTGATAAGACCTGGAAAAACCATAAACACGCTCAAGCACCTAAAGGGACCAGAAATAGTCTGATTCTTCTTTGGGATCAGAGTGTGGATAGAAGGATAGACGGGTGTTGCATGAGCTGATCAAGAAGGCGGCCTTACTCTACACTCTGTCACATAGCCCATTTGTACTTGAAAGCTGAGATAATGTCGCCTCCAACATGTGACTTCCTTTGATTTGCATCCTCTGAATGGTAACGTTTGAGATATCTTCGAGAGAAGGATCATCCAAAAGTTTCACAATATCAAAATCAGGTTGAATGTTGCTATCGTAGACATGATACTCAAATTTGAATGACATTTGAATGACATCCACCTGATCCTTTCTTGTTATTCGCTTCCAGTGATGCATCAAGGGTAACGACGGTTGGTACCTCCAACAATTCGCTTAAAAATGAGTATACATGGTGAAAAAAATGCCCCAAACGTAATATTTACGTTATTATTAAGAGAAAAGATTTTTATTATTAAATTATATTTTTTAATCCTTCAAAATTTTGGTTAAAAATATTCTTTTTCTTGCGATAGCGAGTGACCATAAGTTAGTTTAGGAACTTTTAGCGTCTTTTTGCGATGGCAAACATATTGATTAGAAATTATATTAGAAATGTTTCTTTTAGAAAATCGTAGTAAAAATATTTTTTTTACATCTGTTACCCCCACCCATATATAATTTTATGAAATTTCAAGAAATTCATTTTTTGTAGGGCTTAATTTTTTATATTATTTATAAGCACAAGTACTTTATTTAAATCATCAACATTTTGGTAAAACAGGATCCCCAATAACAGAAAATCTGCTCTGAATCATAAAATAAAAAATGCAATAAAAGTAAAACATTGTTTAATTAGAAATGCTTTTAATTGCTTTTATGAATAAGATATATTATGGACATTTAAGAAAATTTTCTTCCATGAATAATGAATTTTTACAAGCATTATTATTTTTATTTTTAAAAATTTAATTAGAATAATTTATGAAATTTTAAATCTTTTAAAATTCTGTATTAATTTGTAGCGGTTAGGTGATATTGTTATTAAGTAAAAACTATATTTACTAATCATAAATGGAAAAGCTTAATAAAATTCAGCGAACTCCAGTTTTTTGAAATTAATTTTGAATCGTTTTGTTTTTTGTATAAACGTACCGATTTTTGTAAATACGGACGTCCATACACGAAATTTATCAGAAAATAATACATACATACATATGTAGATTTGTCTCTAACAGTTACAGATTTATTGATCCGGCCTTGGATAATCAGTATAAATTTGGAATTCTGAGAAGCATATTGTCCAGAATTAAAAATCATAATCAAATGAATTAATCAAAGTATCATTTAACTAAGTACATTTATCTATGTCCTAACGTTTCTATTTCGTCTCTTTACATTTGTTTATTTCTTTTTGCATCCATTTCATTCATTCATTCATTCATTCATTCATTCATTCATTCATTCTTTCTCTCATTCATTCATTCTCATTAATTCAGGGAAATTCTTTCTAGAAATTAAATCTCAACTTCCCCCATCGGCTTCTTCGTGTTTTATTTATTTTGTATCACTAAGAAATTGTTCATTCATTCTATTCGCATTTATCTTATTCACACTGTCATTCTCTTTCGACTTATGGTCTTGTTTCTTTGTATCTTTTCAGCCCACTTGGCAGCCGTTGCTTTGAGTGCCTTATTTTCAAGTTTCTTGTTCGGGACGCTTTTTATGACACTCTATCTCCGCCGAAAGCCGACTGTCTCAATTTAAGCAAGGGCATATCTTCCATCTGCGATGTTGCCATTGACGACATGGATAAATGAACTCTTATTAATAATTAAATTAAAACATAAAATAAATCTTTATTTTTTACTATATTTTGTTCTTGAATTCAATATGAGAGAATTATTTTCCCAACAAATTAGTCAAGTGTAGCGAATTTGGCTGTAAATGCACGACCCCCCCCCATATATATATATATATATATATATATATATATATATATATATATATATACACATTAAAGGAAAAACTCAATACATCATTAAAGAGTTCGGTAATAATTTATTTCAGATAGACAAGTGCCTCATCAGACCAGAGTTATAAAATGCTTTAAATCATCCAGACAAATTATTAAAAATTACAGGAGGCTAAATAAAAGATCTGACATAAAAAAATCCTTGAAGAGATAAGAGAAAGTGGAGGAGAAGAAAAACAAAAAGGTGTCCGCCCAACCAGCAGGGTTGGTAGAGGGAATACGAAGTTACAGCCAGTGAAATACATTGAAAATAAATCAAATTTATATTCGCATATATATATATAAGCAAAAAAGTTTTTATCATTTTGTATATATATATATATATATATATATATATATATATATATATATATACAGAAAAAAAATCTATCTATCTATCTATTTAAGGTATATTTACGCAGCAAGTATCCATTAAACAAGTTTGATTAACATAATCTTTTATAATTTTCGAATAAGGTGTTGTGTATAGGTTTCAAAATTGTGTATAAACTGTCCGAAGTTCATGTTTGTGTTGTTGTTTGTTAAAATTGATAAATTAAATAGACAGGGCTTTTACTGAAATTTGTATATATATATATATATATATATATATATATATATATATATATATATATATAGATAGATAGATAGATAGATATAGATATAGATATACGTAAAAAACGTCCTCAAATCAACATGTAGGCAACAACTAAACCTAAATAATACCTACTAGACACACACACAAAGACACACACACATACTAATATACATTATCATTCTTGGACCGCTCTTTCTTTACACCTTTCCTCCCATTAAATTTCCCACCAATACCATAAATAACGTGATAGCATTTTCCATTGCCTGATGAAACCTTTAGTGGTAGAAACCGCAGTAGCGAAAAAGGTTAGTGTTTGTAATATCTTATATCTTATATATATATATATATATATATATATATATATATATATATATATATATATGTGTGTGTGTGTGTGTATTTGTCCCTTACGGTTCGATGCAACTCTGAATTTCATGTACGTAGCAATCGTTATTATCTATCTGTCTGTTTGTCTGCTTCCCTCTCTCTCTCGCTCTCTCTCTCCCTCTCCCTGTCTCTCTCTCTCCCTCTCTCTCTCTCTCTCTATATATATATATATATATATATAAAGTGTGAGCATAGAAATCAATACTGCATGTCTACTGTCGGTTTTATACCTTCAGCGACCATCAAAGTGTATTTCTTTATGTAAATATTGGAATAACATATGTCAGATATTATATTGCAGGTCAATCTTTCCAACCGATGTTAACTCTCTTTATATGCTAGAAGCATATGGTAAGAGGGAGAAGGTACAGGGGGGATGATTTTTTCTTTTTTAAAGGCTAATATTTTTACGTTATTTGTAGTGCTAATATTGAGCGCTTTAGGCCGAAAACAGAAAGGATTATCCTAACCTTAGCAAGATCAAAGCCTTAATATTTTACAATGCACATTAAAGAATGTTGCCCATACGATGAAGGAACTATTAGTCAATGAATGAATCTAGAAAATAAATAGGATAGGATCGCGAAGATATGCCAACATTATAACTTTCCCGATGCTGAAAATTGCTATGAGCAAAACCAGCACCAGTTTTAGTATTGCTTTTCTCTGGGACTTCACCATACATAGCAATCCATCTATAGAATAATAGGCCAGATATGACCATAAATGTCTTCAAAAGAACGTAAATGCTATCTTATCCACATGAACATACCCCACCCGATGAAAAAACATTTTCGCGAAAGAATGTGATAAACATTGTAAATATAATGATTTGGAAATAGTAATTACAAGAAGGTAGCATTTAGACACAACCATTATTCAAGTAGTTTTAGGAGCAGGCGGAACGAGGAAGAAGAATACTGATACACACAATAAAAATTCCAGGAAATGGAAATTTGAAATTGTGTTAATGAATACTTATAAAAATTTTTTCAGTGATTTTCTAGAAAAAATTTAATTTACATTAGGCTTCAAATGAAAAACATTAAAATCGAAAAGAAATAATAATAATAATAATAGTTCCCATTTATTAAATATTTTTTCTTCGTCCTGACTTACGCCCACTGCTTTTATATAAACCGGTTATCACAGCTTTAGTAAGTGACTGTGGAAGAGAGAAGTGCGCATGCGCGAAAATACATTTTAAAAGAGGCGACCCTATTTTTGGCGTTCGTTTTCTCGTTCACTCAACAAATATGCATGCCTCTATGAATTTAGTTTCATATAGTTTGCTGTTTTTACTGCTAGTGTTCACCCCGTTTCTGTTTCAGTTGTCCAGTGCTACACAGAAAATTACTTATGCATGTCTTAAACGTGGACAAAATCCTTATATCGCCATCTTCGCGGTGATTAAAAATGAAGTTGTTCATGATATTTTTGGCAAGGGTGCGAAAGATTCTTGCGGATTGATGGCGAAGAATGTTACCGGCAAAGGAGACGAAAAATGGCCCTATCGTCTCCTTGTTAATCTTACTGGTGTGGGAGATGTTAATCATGGAATATGTGGTGTCATGAAAAATAATAATTGGGTTGAGTTGAGTATCATCACACGAACAAGTCAAGGAAATTTTGCAGCGGCCACAGACAAAGAGGCAAAGATTAAATGTGATTTTTCAAAAGACCACTTCATCAATACAAAGGTGAAAGTTAATTTGGTTGAACAAAGGGCAAATGAAGAAAATATCAATATCACACTTGATTTCGAAGGATCGCCGACCGAACTGACTGTAGGTACGGAAACTTATTTAAAGATGAAATTGTGGTCGCTTACTCGTTTTTCTATGATTGTACCGTTTAGATGCTGGGCGATGAGGAATGCCACTGATGTGAACAAAGTGTTACTGATAGATGATTATTGCCCTGTGATTGGGGCACCGATAAAACTGATGTTCCAATTTTATAAAAGTTACTCTACATTGCGCAGTAATCACTTCTTTGCATTCCGTTTCTTTGATTCTGATATTCTTCTCATTCGTTGTTTAGTCGACATATGTCTTACCTCAAGTACTTGCACCATCATTCATTGTGAAAAGAAAGGCAAGCGAAGTATATCCGTACAAAGGCACCGTCGTTCTGCAATTGCAGACACCAGCATTACTGTCAAGAACAAAATCTTCTCGAAACACTCCACTATCAGCGCTAAGCTACCTTTCCTTGTGACAATCATTCATCTCTCTGTTCTCTTGCTGATTCTCATCATCTTGGTTATCAGTCTCGCGTTTAAGTTAAACTGGAGAAAAACGTCGAGACAAATTAATGAATCTTGAAGGATTAAAAGAATAAAATACACGAACGAAATCAGAGTAAGTAACGTTTTAGATTTTAAAAATGAAAATTATTTTTCATCGTAACGAAAACTTATTATTCAGAAGCGTTAGACGAAAAATTTTGTGGAATATTTGTATGAAAATGCGACAAAAACTCCTGTCTTTTATGTATCACGTGTAAATGGCATTCATTTATATATATCAATACTTATAGATCTACACCCCACATGTTAAATATTTGCATTTGTGTGTTTTTGTACTCACACACACACACACACACACACACACACACACACACACACACACACACACACAGATACAGAGAGAGATAGAGATAGAGAGAGATATACATGTATAATTACAATAAACGTGGGATTTTCGACTTGACAATCCGCTTCCAAAATCAGCTGAAGTGGCCAAACCATTATTTGCGTATACCCCTCGTATATATATATATATATATATATATATATATATATATACGAATAAAAAAAGACAAGAGGAAAAACTATACTTAGCCGACGCGTTTCGTCGTCATCTGATGAACTTTATCAAGACAAATGTACATTTTTCTTTTTTTTTTTTTATTCATTTTGTTTCTTCTACAGATGCACTCCATCTGAGAAATAAAAAATTAAAAAATAAGACTGTTAATAGTGAGATTAAATTTCATAAGAAAAAGGTATCTAATTAATTTAGGTACCTTTCTTATGAAATTTTATCAGAAGTGTACATAAAATACTATAATTTTATGTACATTTATTACATTTTACTGTGTTATTTGTATTTCCATTCATTTTATTATTAATTTTGATATTTCATTTATGGAAAAATGTCATAACTGAGATTAATATAAAAATAAGATCATATAAATTAAAGTTTAGCAGTAGTTAAATTTCATAAGATGATACTGTTACTTGTAGGTACCCTTCTCAGTTGAAATTGAAAACTCAAATTAACTTCTCCATACGTGTTTCGCAAAAGTAAAGGGCTTAACAGCGGAGAACAATGCTGAACTCAAATAATGCAACTAAATTGTATTCTGGTTGGTCTTCCGTATATTGATAATTACTGTCCGACTATAAACACAAAAATTACATTTCTTAATTACCATGGCTAATCCGATTGGTCCAAATTATACAATTTTCAAAGCGCTAGACAATGACAACCTCACACGGACATTTTGAAAGGTTGATGTTGCTTTTAACTAATGTTAAAATATTTTTTTTAAAATTCAATTTAAAATTTTTTAAAAATCTTTTTAAAATTAAAGAAATAAGAAATAATTGTATTAAAAATTCAATTTTCATTGAAAAAAAATTTTTGCTTTCAGAAAATATTGTCCATATTCATAAAAACAAATTAAAACAAATAAAAGCATTTGAAACTAAATAATATATTTGTTTTATTGAGTTTTGTATGTTACAATTCACAGCTGATTTTCAGGTACGTTACAAAAAAAAAAAAAAAAAAAAAAAAAACATTATTTGCATT